GGCACTTTGGCCCAGGTACCGTGTCGGAGTTTGGGACTGTGCACTTTGCCGGCTCACAGGTGCCCTGTGCGTTTGAACCGTTCCAGGCGATTTTCCCTTCATAGCCATCCTTGCACCGACACTCCAGCCCATCGTAGACCGTGTTGGAGATGTTGCAGGGCGCTGAGTGGCACGACAAGTAGAAGTGGACATTATAGGTCCCTTGTGTCGATATCTCGAGAGGCGCACCAGGATCGACAGATGTCCGCATAAACCCGGGCGCGCAATCACAGTCTGGTCCATTCAAATTGTTGACATGGTTGCCCGAGCAGAGTACCTGCGTGCAGTCACCCCTGTGCCTGGATCCAGCCCATGTAATGTTCCCATAGTACCCATAGCTGCACCGGCACTTTGGCCCAGGTACCGTGTCGGAGTTTGGGACTGTGCACTTTGCCGGCTCACAGGTGCCCTGTGCGTTTGAACCGTTCCAGGCGATTTTCCCTTCATAGCCATCCTTGCACCGACACTCCAGCCCATCGTAGACCGTGTTGGAGATGTTGCAAGGCGCTGGGGTGCAGGGCCCAGAGGCTACTGCTCGGTCCCAACTGATCCTGCCTACGTAGGCGTTTGAACAAGCACATTCAAGCCCAGACTTGGCGTTGGAATGCTCCACGTTGCAGGGCGCTGGCTTGCAAGATCCACTTGGAGTCGAATTTGTCCAGGAAATGTCACCAGAGAACCCATCTAGACAAGCACAATTTAGTCCAGGATTCCCATTAGAATGCTGAACTTCGCAAGGAGCTGGTGTGCAGTTCCCTCTGGGTTGCACGCCGTTCCACGTGATGTTCCCCATGAATGCATTATTGCAGCGGCAGTCCAAGCCACCAAGATTGTTTGAGTTCGGGATGTTGCAGGCAGCCGGGGTGCAGCTGCCCTGGAACCGCTGGCGCGAAAAATTCCAGGAGATGCTGTCCGCCATAAATCCATCTTTGCATTTGCACTCCTTGCCCAGTGCTTCATTGGAGCCCGGGATCTCGCAAGGAGCTGGTACACACGTTCCAGTTGGAGTGGAACCTGACCACGTGATGTTGCCGACGTAGTACTCCTGGCATACCTACAGTTGCATGAGGGCAGGCGTAGCAGCGGAAACTGGTCTCATCCAAGCAACAGCAACTCGAGCAGCAGCAGGAGCACAAGCAGCAGCCGCAGCAGCGGTAGAGGTATCAGTGGCAGCGGGGGGAGAAACAGGAAGTGGTACCGAAGGAAATGCAATAGCAGGAGTAATCACGGCAGTGACGAGTGGTGTTATCTAAATCTGAAATGCATGGCACTGCTTGCAACAGAATTTGCAAGAATGACAGCGCTGTGCTGAAGCTCAAGCGAGAAACGCAGCCGCCATCTTCCTTGTTGCTGAGAGAGTGTTCAGGGCACCGCACCAGCTGACAGGCCTCGCTGAGCTTTTGAGCGCCATCTGATGCTTTCCAGCTGCCTCTATACCTCACTTGAATGCTGCTCACATGGAGATGCACTACTGCAATGCACGCACATATCAAGCACATACAGGAAATCCTGACTACTGGACGCGCAAAAAACTATCTGAGCCGTGACAGCACCATTACACAATGTGCTGTCCTGAACAAATACCTACGGGAAACCTGCGCCACCTTACGCTTGGGCTACAAAACGGCATAACTCAACGCCGAAACGTACGTCAAACCTGCGCCGGCGGTCCCGACGACGGTCGGAAGAAAAAACTCAAAAGAAGCTCCCTGGCCAGGTCTGGGGTATGGGGGTGGGGCTGGTAGGGGTGGCAGGCGTGGTGGTAGGGGTGGGGTGTCGCCTGACGTCACGGGCAAAGGCACAATGGAGGTGCTGAGAGGAGATTTCGCAACATGGAGCAAGGTTCCATGGCCACAGAGGCGGAAGGTCTTTGGTCACGAGCTCCAGAGCAACTCCCAAGCCAATGGTATATGGAAGGCTGAGTTCCCGGCAGACTGCAGGAATGGACGGTGAATTTCTTGTCGAACACACGCTTGAACAGCACCCTATACGTTCCCAAGAACAGGTACTATGTGCACGTCCCACACAGATCTCAATGATGCTGATGGCTAACCCCACACAGTCTCGAAAACAAACTGGCCCAAGGAATGCATCAGCCGAAGAGCCCATCGTTGCACGTGCACTTGTCCTGCGTGCAAGTCTTGAGACCTCGGATAGTCGGCTTCGGATCTTGACATATGCCAAGTGCTCGATGGGATATTATAGAAGTCTGTGGAAGCACAGTGCGTGCGAGAACTCTACCACTTGCTACCAGCAGCATGAGGTGGTATTTGGCAAATGCACGTGACTTGTAAGCAGAACTTTGCGAAGTGGTCTAGAAGTGATTTATAAGTGACCTATATGGCTGTGGCTCTAAATAGGGGTATGTCGCGGTGTCCCGACCCCCGCCTGTGTTATGTCGCGCCCACTTGTTTCAGATGTATGTCGCGGGGTTTGTCGCGGCTGTTTCGCATGCTGTCGAAATGCCTGCGTAGTCGAAGGTTGGAGTTCCAAGAAGGGGCTTGTCGCAAAGGCTTGTCGCGGAGGCTTGTCGCATCTTGTCGCGGAAGTTTGTTGCGGACGCTGCTTGTCGCAAGCAGAACGGCTTTGTTACAAACCCCATGTCGCGGAAAGACGTCCGGGAGCCAGTTACATACCTAGACTTTTGAGCCGCGCCCATATGTTCATCATAAGTTCTTATCGAAAAGCGCGGTCTTATTTTTTTGCCGCGCCTGGGCTAGCTGGCTTTTCGAGAAATTACGTTCACGAACTGGAATAGAAGTGCTGCTGATGGCATGTGCAAGCTTACACAACCTCTGAAGTCGGAACGCTAAATCCATGCGTAAAACCCGGCATGCCAAGTTCCTAGAAAAGCCAGGCGACACTCGAACCTTCGGTTCTCCACCAGGAGGGCATGGTCATATTGGTAGAGGAGCTAACTCGAAAGCAACGAGACTTTTCTGTAACAAGGAGCAAAACTCCCCAAGTTTCGGTGGCAGCGCGGACATGCCCAAACACGCAGCCCGCGTGCAGGTCTGCATATTGCGGCATGTGGCGCGGACATCTACGCGGACCCCCGCGGACATGCCGCGCCCTCCTTTTTAGTGGTTTTCCCTTGGCGTCCCGCGGACATGGTCAAGCATACCGATTCGTAAGTTTTCGGCCAAGAGCTGTGTAAGCACACGCGCCAGGACGTGCGCTGTATGGATACCAAAGAGCCGGTCGGGGCTCCTCCTTGTGGAGCAGCCATGACACCAAAGTGGACAAGAACTTCCCGTATGCTTTCTGCAACAACAAAAGGCCAAAGCTGCCGCGAATTTAATGGAGTGCATCCAACGACATCTCTTCACCAGACCTCACCAACACATTATTTTTTCAATGCCATATTGTCTTGCGAAAACGTACGAAACCTGTCAAAACACAAGTTCATTAAAACTATAACATAAGTGCCAAGTAGTAACCACAAGGACAAAAACTGCAACCAACTTAGATCTTCATCTTAAGTCCTCATTCAATTTACCCACTACCTGGGAGACACAAGTGACTTAATCCGAGCTCCTGTTTAATTTAACCCCCCATATTTAAAGAAGTTTTTTTTGCCCGGATTCCCGCCGGAAGACTACTTTCCATTACGATGGATTTCGTATGGGCCAAACCCTCCACATTTAAAGAAATTTTTTTGGGGGGGGTGTTGTCAAATTTTGAAACTCTGCCTTTCGGAAAGCTTGAAGCCCGTAGTCTTGAAAGAAACCTTGAAGCTTAAAAGGAAAAGCTTTAAGGAAGCCGGTGCTTCGGTTTTCTGGAAGCTGAGGGCCTTCAGAAAGCAAGGATTTCTTATGTGATTGCTTACTGGAGGAGAGAAATTTTCATTCTTTCCTGAGCTACCCCTTACGGGCTCTGGCAGGGAAAGGCAGAGTCACATTAATAGAATGGGGCCAGAATTATGGGAAGCCCCGGCCCGTGGGGAGCCCTGGTCCTGTAGTCTTGAAAGAAACCTTGAAGCAGAGAAACCATACGGGGCCATGGTCCAACTATTGCGGAACCCTGCTTTCCTTATTGTGGGGGGGGGGGGGGGGGGGGGGGGGGGGGGGGGGGGCCCCCCCACCAATTAAACAGGAGCTCGGATTACACATGACTTCGCCTACTTATAAGGTACTTATACATAAAATACATCTCAAGTGTAAATCCCAAACACGACTAAATACTCGTGGTAAGGGAATGAGAGCGAAAAAAGTTTGTTCCGCACCCTTTCTGTATTGTGATATAGTATGAATGTATGGTCTCTAGTATATAGTGTATAATGTAAAGTATAGTATATGGTGGTATACTCTATTTTGTAAATGTCAAACCACATGTAAACTTGACTGTATCAGACAGTATGGTACGACATGGTATGCTGTATTATGAAGGATGAAGCAGCATAGTATGACCAAGTATAGAAGACCACCCAAAACAGCTGCAACTGCACCACGGGGCGAAAGGTGTCCAATGACTCGACCCTGATCTGCCGCGACGTCCTTGCCGACCTGCTCAATCCTCACAAGGGGTAGCTGTTGTTTCGGCTTCCGAACCACTGTCTCATGCTAAAATACAGGACAAAAAGGGCTCCGCGACCCTCGTCCTCTGCTTTTTCAGGGGCTCTGATTACGCATGCCTCACCACTGCATGAGCTTTGTAATACTCATGTGTTAGTAGGGCACCTGGAAAAACCACCGCTTTTCCCAGTCGTTAGAAGAGCCACCGGCTTATCTAGCCGTCTTAGAAAAAGCCCTACGACGAGTCTAGCAGCGAAAGAAAATGACGTGCACCAGGTTGAGCCGACTACCAGCCTACTACACCCTCTGTTTCTCGCCCTGAGGCCCAGAGCTGTGAGCGTGCAGTTGGTTGACGCACCATCTTTGAGAGGCACATCCACAATCTTCTGCTTGTCGTCGAATTCCACCAGTGAATGGTTGAACTCTCTGAAGTTGCAGTTCTTCGAGTTCTCTGGGCAGCAAATGCTGACCCTCCTCAGTCACAGAAAACGAGACAACAGAGTTGCGATTGTTGCCTTGCTCCCCCATTGCTTTGGCTGATCCAGAGTGTTGGACCCTAGTTGAAGAAAGCTGATCAGAACGTCATCGTTGAAAATGAAAGCTATTCTACCAGTAGCTTATTATTGTTACAATACGCAGAATATACGGTCAAAGTCGCTGGATCTGGGAATTTGAAATTAGGTGGCGAGGATGGCAACATGCCTTCATCAGCTCCAGGCTAGCAGCTAGACCTTTTTGTCTTCTACTCACATCAGACCGGAGGGTCTCATGGCATGCAGAGCCAGACGGGCAGAGGGCTCCGCAAACCAAACAAGCACTACGGCATCAGCAAGCAGAGGATCGAAGTCTGCTGGAACTTCGTTTTGACATGCCTCGGTTGGCCGGGTGGAAACGGAGGGCATCAATCCTGGAGACAGGTACATGCCCTCGAGACCTTCTAAGAAGTCCAAGGTCCTTGACCCTGGCCTCCGCAGACATCAAGGTTTCTAACGCCAAGTTGCAGAACCGGTGGCTTCCCTTGCTCCACGAGGAGGAGGAAGTCAAATCCAGACTCCGGTTGGAGGAATAGGTTTGTCGGATGAGCTCTCCTGAGCACAGGCAAGAACTAAACTCAACTGCACTACGATACTGTGTCTCTCTAGCTCTCTCTGCGTGCGCCTGTGCCTCTGCCTGTGCCTACGCCTGCGCCTCTGCCTGTCTTTGAAACGGGGCTCCTCCCAGCCTTGAGGCTGCGCGTTCAACACGTGAGCACATCAGGCTGCAAGTGCGCAACTCAAGAAACTGCCGAGCCAGCAAGTTGAACTGGAACCGTATAACAGCAAGATTACAGATAAAAGCACACCGCTCGGTCCACTATGAACACAGGCACAAACAAGCAGAGCGCAAGAGAAACACCAAAGCTCCCAACACCGAATTTACCGAAGTGACAGCACCAACCTTCGCAAAACACATCGCCAACCAGGAACCCTGCCAAAGTAGTGTGATTCTGATTGAAGAGATAGAACCAAAGGAAACAACTGCATGGACAGCTATATCTATCAATGGTGCTCTTTGAGGCTGCCAAGCTTCACATCTTCGATACCTGGCGGGTCGAAAAGCCTGTCCTTGGCTCTGCTTAAACTTTGTCGCACCTCTGGGGCCTGCTAACTTGGGGGTGCAGCAGCAGAGCCACACATAAGAAACTAACCTGAATCTCGTCGCCATGGTTTCTGGAGTGTTTCTGGCATGCGCTCGGGGATGAGATTTGAGGGTGTCTCAGATGCAGGTTGGCGTTTTGAGGTTTGAATAGCAACTGGTTGTGGCTGAAGGTCCATATCAGCCTCCGTGAGGTTGGTCTGCAAAACTTGCACTCGAGGTCGCTTATGTTTCGTTTCCATAGCACGTCTTTCTCCCAGTCCTCATAATGTTTGGCCTTGGCCTGCTCCTCTCGCTCTGATTCCTGTTCGTATTCTAGCAAATTCTTGGCATTTGCCAAGGCATCTGCTTCATCTGGGCCGGTGTTTGGGGCTTGGGGCTCATGTCAGGCATCATAAATCTCTAACCTGTCAAGAAGTACATCGGCAACTTGCCAGGCCCTGGCCACAAAAATCCCTCACCCCAAGCACCCCCGTAAACCTGGCCCAACGAGGCAGCAGAGTGTCCATGCCCTTCTGGATCATGAGTGGTAGCACGCCCACAAAAAGTAGGCAACAGACCTGTTGTAGGCGGGGTGAAGACGATGACATCTTGCTCTACTTTCTCACAACTTCACACAGGAGTTGCAGCAGAAGCTTGATGCTCAGGGGTAGGGGTTTCAGGAATTTGGATGTAGTGCTAGGGTTAACCGCTGAGGATCAGGCATAGGACTGGGGGATATCTGTGGGTGCAGATTTGAGGCAATGAAGCTATCAGGGGTGGCAAGCTCAAGGCCGACAAATGCAAGAAAGGCGCTGCGCCCATCCCAAATTTGAAAGCCAGGGGACGACATTGGCCAAAGGGGCTAGCCGCTGCTTGGGGAAGAACGCCTCTCGACTGCCCTTGTTTATGAACAAGGCCAAGTCCTCAGGAAGAAAGCTACTAGGGTTTATGCTGGTGTGAACCAACTGCATGAATCCCCAACCATAGCTCACACAATACGAAGTTGCTTTATACTCGGCAAACAAAGCGAAAACAAAGTAATCACGTCTGCGATGCCTGCTATGCGCTGAGCTTGGGTTATGACAACTACAAGTTGAATGCTGTTCATACTTAAAGGTGTTGCTCAATGCTTGCTGTGGGTTCGGCCTACAAGAGCAACGTGGAACACCAGCTGAACAGTACTTGTTTAGGTTTGTCCTGAGGAGCAGCTACTCAGCAAGAGCCAAACTGACATTTTACATTCCGAAAAAAAAGAAACAAGGCCACACAATAACGCTATGGATCCCCGTGTTTGCATCAAAACACTAGCCAAGACCAGAACCCTCAGCCCTGAACAATGGCTTCCGGTCCTCCCCTGCCAGAAAGCCCAGGAAATGGGCCACCCTGCTTCGGAGGCCCTCATCGGCTGTGTCGCCGGCCGTGTTGCCAGCCGTGTCTCTGGCTGTGACACCAGCAGACAGGTCCAGAAACTCCTGGCGCTGTTAAGGGGAATAACTTCTGGTTCTGATAGATGCAATCGAAACCGTGCAGGAGTTGACTAACTTTCAATTTAGGGGTTTGGGATGGTTTGGGCTTGCAAGCTCGTCACGTTTTGGGCTCCGCATTTGGAGCTATAAGGTGGTACAGCTTCCAGTACAGTTTACATTGTACACGTGCACGCTATGGCTAGCTCAAGGGCTCGAAGGTTTAAGTTACTTTGCTTCAGGCCCCGAACCGAAACCCCAACAAGCCCCCCCCCCCCCCCCCCGCTGTCTGCAGTATCCTGTAGTATAGACCAGGACTCCATGAAGGAACGAAGGCTGTTCTACACTGCAATGATGCGATACTGCACTACACTGTACGATACTCCACTTCTCTCCACCATGCTGTGCTATGCGACACTACACCTCAGTAAACTACACTCTGCCAAGTCCGACCAGTGGTGCCGTCCTCCAAAGTTATGTCACGAGTCTTCTCTTCGGACGTGTCCAGCATTGTATGGAGCTGGACCTCCGCACAGCATTGTGCTAGTCGCTGCTAGTCGCTGTACGGAACTCTTCTTCTGCAACTGCTACCGTTTCTTCTTCTACTACTACTACTACTACCACTACTACCACGTTTCAGCTCATTTTTACCAAAAGTGTCGAGGGTATTTTTTTCAGCAGTCCTGCCCTGAAAACACTGGCGTCTTTTTAACGCATGATTTCGGTGCAATTGGTGCGTCACTTCTTGGGTGGGGGGTGGGGTGGGGGGGTGGGGGGGGGATCTTTACGATCATGCTAACCTATACATTAGATGGCTCTCGTTCTTGGAGTTTTCGCACTGCTTTTTTGGTGGCTTAGGGTTTAAGTTTCGAGTTTAGGTTTTAGGCTTTAGCTTGGGGCTGACTTGGAGATGTGACATCCTTTTTTTTTTTTTTTGGGGGGGGGGGGGGTGTTTGGAGAGGTCAAGGCATTTGGGGTTGCAATGCGATGTGTCAGAATCCTTTTGGACCTCACGCCAGCACCTTTGGGGGGGAGGGCGGGTTTAGAGGTACGGGTTTAGGAAGGCTTTGGCCTTGCACGACTTCGGGCTTGCACTGATTTTTTTTCTGTTTTTTTTTGGGTCTGAGGCGGGGGGGGGGGGGCATGGGGTGGCAGGGCGGTTTACAAGTCAGGGGTTAGGTTGAGGTCTTGCGGGCTTGCTGTTTTTTTTCGGGTGTTTGGGGGTGGGAGGGCGGGTTTACCGGTCAGGGGTTAGGTTGAGGTCTTTCGGCTTGCACAGACTGGGGCTTGCAAGGTGGGAGGGGGTGTTTACAGGCAGGGCTTATTGGAACTAAACAACGCCCCATGCTGGAAGCCCAATGCTGCGAAACAACATGCTGCGCCAAAAAACCACAGAAACAAAACCTCGTGACGCGTGGTCTTCACAAGGGCGAAACCTTGTAAAACCGATATAAACCACGACTATAATCAAAAATATAATAGCGTCAAATACGAACCCGGCGCCTATTACTACTACTACTACTACTGCTGCTGCTGCTACTACTACTACTACTACTACTACTACTACTACTACTCCTACTAGTACTACTACTACTACTACTACTACTACTACTACTACTACTACTACTACTACTACTACTACTACTACTACTACTACTACTACTACTACTACTACTACCACTACTACTACTACTACTACTACTACTACTACTACTACTACTACTACTACTACTACTACTACTACTACTACTACTACTACTACTACTACTACTACTACTACTACTACTACTACTACTACTACTACTACTACTACTACTACTACTCTACTACTACTACTACTACTACTACTACTACTACTACTACTACTACTACTACTACTACTACTACTACTACTACTACTACTACTACTACTTACTACTACTACTACTACTACTACTACTACTACTACTACTACTACTACTACTACTACTACTACCACTACCACTACCACTACCACTACCACTACCACTACCACTACTACTACGACGACGACGACGGCGGCGGCGACGACGACTACTACTGCTGCTACTACTGCTGCTACTACTACTACTACTACTACTACCACCACTACCTATACTACCTATACTACCTATACTACCTATACTACCTATACTACCTAAACTACCTATACTACCTATACTACCTACACTACCTATACTACCTATACTACCTATGCTACCTACTACTACCACCACTATCACTACAAGGAGAAGAAGGAGAAGGAGGAAAAACTCCCTCCCCCACCACTACCACTACCACTACCACTACCACTACCACTACCACTACCACTACCACTACCACTACCACTACCACTACCACTACCACTACCACTACCACTACGGATGCTGCGGCAACCGTCAAGATCACACGCACGCACCAGTAACATGGACGTAACCATCGTGCCAGCATGGATGCTCTGCCACTCGCAAGGATGCTCAGGCAATTCGCACGCACTCGTGCGGGCATGGATGCTCTGGCCATTCGCTCGCACGAACGTAACCGCCAAAAAGCTGATGTGGGCTGCACTTTTGCCCCGAAAACACCAAATTTCGTCCAGAATCTCCAACGCGAAATTTCAAAAAAACACGTAAACAAAAATGCTGGGCGAATGCTGGTATTTACCGGATGCGCGTCCGCTGATGTGACAGGTCCAGATGAAGGGCCCGTGAAAAACCCAAGGCTGTGTAACACCATGGGGGATGCGGCGATCCTTCCGTGTGCCGCTGTTGCCGGCTGTTTCCGGTTGGCGACTCCGATCGTTGCCGTTTGGCAGCATTTCCCAGATGCAGCCATCAGTTTGGCTCCATTGTCGATTTGGCTCCATTGTCGACAGCTTTTTCTTGACCGTGGCCTTGCAGTGTGGGCACCGGGCCTGTGTTCGGCGGCCAGAGCCGCAGTCGAGGCAGCCTCTGGGACGACAACTGCGGCAAAATCACGAAGAGGAAATCATCAGAACAGATCCTGGATTTTTGACCATGAAGACGACACCGCCGAAAATGACAAAAAACAAGTAGAAAATCTCCAACAAGAACGCTGGCATTTACAGCATTTTTGCGCCTGAACAAAAAAATCCTTCAAAACCGTCGCACCTGCTGCTGCTACTGCGACTGCGACTGCTACTAGTACTGCTACTGCTACTTCTACTAGTAAAACTACTCGTCCTGGAGAGGAAAGTAGCTTAAGACCTAACTTTCACTCCCCAACCTGGCACCCCGCTGAACGCCTTCGGAGACGCGCAGAGGCTACGAAGGTTGAAGAGGTAGAGCAGAACGGTGCCGGCACTGGAGACCTTAAACCCGAAAGGCTCACAGTTGTGCCTGGCATCAAAGCCACCCCAGGCAGGCGCCTTGATGCTCTAAGGGTAGTTACATGGTCCCTTAGTATGGGCCCTTAAAAAGGGCATCCCTTATATACCCCTTGTAGACCCTATACATACATCAGAACCCTTTAGAGGAGGTTCGGGACCGTATTATGGGCCATGTAACTACCCTCAGAGATGCCAAACGAAACCCTCCGCATCACTTTGTACGCGCAAGGCCGGTATTCATGAGGCCCGTAGCAGTATGGACACGTAGTGCAGCAATGAGCAGCGATATTTGGAGTTTCTCAACATTGGAGACCCCTCCAACCAAGGCTAAATGAATACAAGGACCCTGTGCAGGCATCCATGTTGGATCATTTTGCCATGTTGAGGCCATGGCCCGTTTCAGCACCAGCTGCGCAACCTCAAGGTCCACGATGAAGGACACAACAGTATGCGAGCACATGCAAGTCGTACTTCAAGTCATTCGTTGTACAACAGCAGACAAATGCCAGACTCACAGGCAGCAATAGAAGCATTGGTCGTCACAGGATGTAGCAACAGTCGGAGGCATCCATAGGAGGAGTAGCAAAAGCAAATATAGCACAAAGTCTGTTGCTAGAGAGAGCATCGCAGGAACGTCAAAAGTATGAGCCATGGGCTTTCAAGCAACGGAAGACCTGATGCCCAAAGGCCACTATAAGAAGCAGGTATAGTGCAGGCTGCACTGTCAGTGCACTTTACTGAGCAAGTAAGTTTTGGAGTGGACATTGATGGAGGGCACGTCTCTCCCGTATCAGAGGCAATTTCCCAATTACCACTCGGAAAGACTTTAGACATACTGGACCCAGATCACATACCAGCATATAACTTTTGCTAGAAAATGCTGACAACTAGGATGACAGAGCTAACAGCCTGCCTCGGCATCGGTCAAAAAAGCCTGGCACATCACAGTTTGATATGCGGCTCTTCCAACTAAAACCCAGCACCATGTCAGAATGCATGGCTGCAACATCTTTTCTTGAAAAGCAAGCGCTGCTTCATGCTTTGCATCAACTCCTCAACTCCTCCACGCTATCACGCGCTCACTGAATGCCACTTCGAAGCCCAGATTCCTCAAACAGTAGAACAAACTAAGCCTACTCAAATCTCGCAGCCCTGCCCCAATGGATCCCTCAAGCACTTCCAGGTCGCCTTGTCGCGAACAGCCATGTAGATGATGACGAGATACAGCAGGAGGGCCACTGCTCCCAAAACGAGAAGTAGTATGCCCAAGCCTTCATCTAAGTTCTAGAGTCTAGAGGGTTCAAGGCCTGTTGGTGAGGTTCGTAGCTGCATTGCGGGTTTTTGGGTTCGATTCGTCAAAGATACTGCAACTGCAGACGTGCTGAAGAACCTGGTGCGCTGCAAACGCAACAGGCCTTCAAGACCCTGGGAGTGAGTGGCACAGGAACTGCCTCAATCCTTGGCCCTGAGCCCAACAACCCTTAACAACAGCTCCCTAGACCCTGGAAGCAAAACCTGATAAGCCCCAAAACCCGAAACACCTGGCCTGTGGCTTCGAGCCGCCCACAGTCGAGCTTGAGCCGCAGGTACCTTCCAAACATTGCGGGTGGCAGGAGAAAGAGAAGGACTGAGGATGCTGAAACGTCGATCGTGTGACAGAACCCAAACCCTATACCCTACACCCCAAACCCTACACCCGAAACCCCAGGGGCTACACTGCTACACCCCAAGCCCAAAACCCTAAACCCCGTAGGATCAAACTCAGAGCGGAGAGCGAGGCCCAGCATGTCCGAGGCCAGCTGCAGATGTCGGAGCTGTTTGGGGTTGGACCCCAAATCCTGGAAGCCTCCCTCTGAAACGCCCTTTCCTCAACTCAAAAACACCCAAGCACAAGAGAAACCCTGTTGCCGGTATATATGTGTGTATATATATATATATATGCCCCACGTGCTTGCATATATACTGGCTATTCCGAAATTCCAGAAATCGAAACTCACTTCTACTCCAAGAAATTGCTAGAGAGACCCCTTTTTCAGGAACCTAACGTAATTAGTGCCCCCCCCCCCGGACTTGTGGAAAAAAACTCCGGAATATTATTCAGCGGGATCAATTGGAAGAGCCTCCCGGAATGGTGAAAAGACAAACACGGATCCTTTGTAAATTCATGTCAACTCATCCCTGTTAAAATCATATGGAACCCTTTTCATTCAGATAAACTCTTCCCTTATAAAACCACATGGATCCTATTGAAATTATCCGATTTTATTTAAAATACAGCCAGACCCCCCCGCCCCCCACACTAAAGGCGCGGATCATTTTGTTTGGGCGGGGGGGTGGGGTCGAGGTGACACTAATCAGCATCCAACACTACTCCCTTCACAAGAGTGAATCAGGACCTCTCATTCTTGCAATTCTCACCAACTGCCAAATGCCCTGCAGCCCAGATCACGAAGTACAGGGAACCGGGAAACTCCTGGAAACCCGGAGCGCCTACGCTTGGCGCTGTGGATGGCCAGGCGCCTCGGCTGTGGAGTTTGCCGTTTAGGGCTTCAGCCTTGGCATGCTCCTTACAGCGGCTAGTGCTCAAGGTATTCCTCGTTCATGCGATGCAGGTTAAGAAGGGATGCAGAATCTGGTGCCTTGGGCCTTGCGTGTGCTAACCTGCGACTTTAACATGTCGAGGGGTGTTGTCAGGCCGAAGTCTCGGGCCCGATTGCATCGAAGCTCTATGACAGGCAAACAATTGAAGAGGCCAGGATGCCGCAAGTAGTCCACGGCGAGGAACCTCCAGGTGAAGCCCAGCATAGTCGTGCTAGAGTCTCGGTCTAGGGTTTAGGGTAGAGATGTGTTTACATCATGGATTTGCAGTGGTTCCGAGGTTGGTTCGCGTTCAGGTCGCCAAGTTAAGAGCACATGTGTTGAGTACACCTTGCTCACAACAAGGGACCACTTGCCTAAAGTTGCTCGAATCCTGTGCTCCGATGCTTACAACCCCTTTCGGCTTAGCCCTTCAGCCTGTTCCAACCCGAGCTTGCACCCGTCGCAAAGTTGGAGGCCCCAAGAACACACCATTCCCGAACCCTCCATTGCCGAACCCTATTTGGATACTGCAGATGGAAAAGGTCTGGCTTGTGGGCCCGTGAGACCCCTAACATTGGGGAGGGGCTCTACTATCATTTGCAGGCCTGTACTATGACAGAAATGCTCGCCGGTAACGGGGCTTGTAACAGAAACTGTAACGGAAAGGAGCGGAGCTGTAACGGAGGCTGCAACGGAGCGCTACCGGCTGTAGCGATGCTGTAACGGAAGCTGTAACGGAGCAGTAACGGAGGTGCAATGGAGCTGTAACGGAGCAGTAACGGAGGTGCAATGGAGCTGTAACGGAGGTGCAGGGGAGCTGTCACGGAGCTGTAACGGAGGTGCGACGGAGCTGTAACGGAGCTGTGTAACTGAGCTGTAACATGCTGTAACGGAAGCTGTAACGGAGCTGTGACCGCGGTGCAACAGAGCTGTAATGGAGCTGTAACGGAGCTGTAACGGAGCTGTAACGGAAGCTGTAACGGAAGCTGTAACGGAAGCTGTAACGGAGGTGCAAGGGAGCTGTCACGGAGCTGTAACGGAGGTGCGCCTGAGCGGAGCTGCATCGGAACTGCAACGGAAGCTGTGACGGAGCTGTAACGGAGGCGCAACGGAGCTGTAGCGGAACTGTAGCAGGTGCTGTAACGGAGGGCACGCTGGGGCGCAAATCCCATAGTAAATGATGGTAGAGCCCCCCCAACCCTAACACAAAGACACAAAAGGAACCAAGGGGTGCCAGCAAAGGGGTTCTGTTCTATTTGGCTGGAGGGGCATGAGGCTGGTGAAGGTCGCAGCCATTGAGATGAGGATGCTGGTGTACCTCGCGGGGGATTCGGCGACACACGCGCAGCTCCAGCTGAAGCACGCAGCTTGTGGCGTCTTCTTCTGTCTTGGGTCTCTAGGTTTGTTGGGGCTCTTCTAAACACAACAAGCCTTGATTGAGATGAGCGGGAAAGACGCGCGAGAAGCGGCTTACGCGAGGTGTAGGTCTCCCAGAACCGTTCAGAAAGGAAGTGCCAGAAAGAAGAGCAAACAAACACTATTTCAAACACAGTGCGAAGAACCAGACTGAACCCCTGGAGTTTGGCTGGTCCTTGGGAAAGTGCACAGCCCAGGTGCAAAAGGACATTGGCAGGCGAAAGCAGCACGGTCGGCTGACTCGCGGAAACAATCCTCGCAGGCGAAGGGAAATTTACCTTAGCCCTAAGCTGCTTCGAATCAGGAGTTCAGGCTGCCGGAACTCGGGGTTGAGGCTTGTTGAGGTGGTTTAGGGTTCAGAAGGGTTTGGGGTTTAGGGCATTGGGCCTCCAGGCGGACAATTGGGGTGAGCTGGGTTGGGGCACCTTGCAAGAACTTTCCAACCCAGCCAATGGAAAGACAGAACCGAGCACCCGTGGCCTTGGCCCAATGCCATCTGCCGTGATTGTATGATGATTGCTATCACTATACACATTTCTACTAGTACTAGTACGAACCATGTTTTGAACCAGGCAAGAACTCGTAATAGCCGTGCTAGTCGTGCTAGTCGTACAAGTACGACTTGTACGACTAGTGCGGCCTAGTACTACTAAGACTAAAACCATGAGTGCGAGTACAGTACCATTAGTAACTTAGTATCTACTGCTTCCTGCCATTTTGCTGTCAAGATTGCTGTTACAATTACGGTTGGCTTGAAGCAACCAGTCCCCTGATCCCAACCCAGTATACCGCAGTGTAGGAGAATGGACTACAGTCAATCCCATCTACAACATCTTGTGCGACAATAGAATCCCGGTGGAGTCCTGGCTACCACGATCTTCTGGAAGCCCACGAAGCCAACGATGCCGGGAACGTGGCTTGTCAGCGACGAAAACAGCGTTGCAGACCTCAAATTTTTACCGCGTATTATCATCATCTACAGCGCTTTATAGTATTGTGTACGACCGTATACGATGTTAATGTGCTATGTAGAATTCGAGCTGTCATCTACTGCAAGGCAAGCTGCTTCGGGAGCAAAGCCCCGAGCTGCTGGTTTACTGTTACTACTGCTACTACTGCTACTCCTGCTACTACTACTACTGCGACGACTCCTGCTGCTACTGCTACTGCTACGGCTACGGCTACTGCTACGACTGCTGCTACGACTACTACGACGACTGTATGCCATGTGAATTTTGATTTGAATGCCGAGCGGGCGTGCTCGGCTCATGGCGGGCCTGATAAGTGAAGACGTGCTGAGCCAGTCCTTTAATTAGCCGTATTATGCTGACAGAGTCACAGAAAAAACGAAGTGCCCACGCCGGCTGCCGACAGACTCACAGAAGTTCCTAGGGAACCATAGGGAACCAACGGCGGTACGACTACGAGCTGCATGTGAACAAGTTGCCATGGTTCAGGCTCCCAGTCGTGATCGATCTTCTGACCTCATGCAGTCATGCAAGGGTAAAGCAGGCAGTGCCAGTAGACTCAATAGACCAGACACCAACTGATGTCTGGAGAAGAGCAAGAGACAGAGTGCTGCATGATGACCCCCAGTCTAACCATTATCTTGCCCTAACCCTGAACCCTACCCCTCGAACCTGAACTCGAAGCCTAAAACCCAAACCCGCCCTAACCCGAAAAGCCCAAAACCGCTTGCAGGCCCCACTCTTCCCCTTCTGCGGTGCCTTCTCCGTCGTGCGCGCTGCTGCCCATGAGATGGGAGGGTTGCCAGCACCAAAGAAACACTGCAAACGCCTGGGGGTCAGGGTTTGGGGTGTCCAGGTTTAGGGCTGAGCTTGCTGGTGTTCTTCTTGGTGAATGCTATTCAGCAAGCTGTTAACTACGAGCACTTTGTTGGGATCGACTGCTGCCTTGAAGTGTGCTGAGCTTGCTTTCACTAAGGCCGGGACAGCAAAGATGGCAAACCAGGAGATGTCAAAAGTCCTGCCAGGGCATCTTGCACGGCTTTCGGGCTTAGGGTCGTAGAACAAAACTACTTTCGACTAAAGTATCATCTGCTGGAGAGCGCTGCTTTCGTTGTGCCATTGAAGCTGCATGCCGTCATGACTTTGTGAAACTGGGCGCGTTGACATCCCCAGTGCGAAGCCTCAAAAACCAAATCCTGGACTCTTAAGGGGCAGCCCAAATCCTGAACCGTAAACCGCTGTCCCGCTGCTTTTCCAGAGCTCGTCTAGCCCCACACTCATTGGTGCAAACGAGGGTCCACAGAAAGTCGGAGGCGCTGGTAAAGATGTCGCCCCACATCCATAGCAGCTGCTCATCGGCATCCTGCTGCGACATGACCAATTCATACGACATGTGCGGGGGCTCAGGAAAATGGGGGATCCCTAAAATAGACCCCAAGTAGTAAGATTCGCGTATAATAAGGACCCCAATCATGTACCCCTGATTTCGGAATGTAGCACACCCTCAGTTCTCGCATGATGTAGCAGCAATGTAGCAAAGTATGGCTATGGAGAACCATCGGGGCTTGGACCGGGGAGGGAATGAGGAATCCACTGGTCTTTGGCTTCGGATGGCGTGAGAGAATGGAACAGGCTAACTGAAGTGACTGCATGTGCATCTGGCTAAGGCACCTCTGGCTGACGTCCCTGCAACCCTCAATCCCAGAACAGAACCCACTCTTGCACCTCACCGGCATCAATGTCCAGCGCATCGTTTTGGGCCCGTGCTCCCCAGCAAATGCGGAAACTAAGGCAGAACAAGGCCTTAAGGCACGGAAGCCAGGAAGGGGGAATGGGAGGCTGGGCATAAAGAATTTCGCAGGTTTGTGGTTGTAATGGCGGGTGCTGACTTCGTCATGTCTAACAAGGCTGGAGCTATTCTTCCAGCTGGGTTTTTTTTGGGTCTGCTTGCGTGACTTCTTGAACTGAATGTGGTGAGCCTCATGTTTCTTAGGATTTAGGGTTTAAGTTTAACTAGGGCGGAGGAGATTGGATGAGTCAGGACTCTTTCAACTCCATCTTGCAAGCTGGGATTGAGGAGTCCTACGGAACAAACGCGCCGCCCACAAGAATCTCTTTAAACCTGGATCTTACAAGGCGGTGCCAGCGGGAGAGGCAGCGCGAGGTCCGCACGAGGGGGCTCAGCGGCGGAGGAAGAAGCCCATGTGTGCGTATGTGTACGACAACCCCCCCCCCCCCCCCCGCCCCGATGCATGCGATCAAAGCGTGACAAAGATCAACAGTATTGCCATAAAGGAGGCTCGGACTGTATTTGCCCACATGCATGTTGCCGCGGCCCGACTTTAGACACGGATTTCCAAGTACAAGTACAGTGAGCTATGACATACCATGTCAGGCAAGCTGCCCAGAAGCACGCCAGGGACAATGGCCCCACTCGCGGCATGCCCTCACCACCTACGAAAACATGCAAAGGGTTTTGAGGTTTAGGGGTTTGGGCTTTAAGAGTTCGCCTGGGCTTCCAGCCGAAAAGCGGTTTCCTTCCTAAAGAGATCACACCCAAAAACATGAAAAAACCAACACCCCTTGTGGGCCTGGAACCCCCTAAAACCCCCCGCCCCCCCGGAACGCCCGCGCCGCCGAAACACCGAAACCCAACCCCCCTCCCCCCCTTCTTGGACCCCTGTGATAGGACCCTTGCCGCATGCTACACCCAGCTGGGCGAGCCCGGTTACAACTAGGGACTTTAAGGATTCAAGGTCTAGGTGTGAGTTAAGGGTCGACAGGGGGTTTGGGCTATGTTGCGTTTGGGGTTTCTTGCCTGGATTCCAAAACCCCCTGTAAAAAGCCCCAATCCAAAACCCGAAACCCCGAACCCTTCGGGTTGAAGTTTGAGGCTTGCGGGCTCGAAAGGTCCGAAAGTTTTGATTGTTGTTTGCTACGGGTGCTTCCGAGGGTTACGGTCTAGGGATTGGTGCGCAGGGCTGTAAGTTTAGAAGTTTACTAAAGTCGGAGTTGAAGCGGATGTAACTCGTCTGTCCTGTGATGAACTTCCTAAGGGCGTATATGGAAAGCTAGTACGCATCTCAACTTCTAACGTTAGAAGCAGCGAGACCTGCGCATTGGGCTGACAACCAGCTTTCAACTTAAGTTGAATGATTGATCTCAACACCTGTCCATCAAGAAGTTAACAACACAGCACACGAGTGCACCTTAGGGTATTATAGAATAGTATGTATACAGCCAAAGTGCAGTGTCTTTAGAAGAGCCTAGGTGAGAGAACAAGAATACTAATATGGCATCGACCAGTGGCCAATCGGTCCAACATTGATGCAAACGAAAACGTAAACGTAACGAAACCCCAAGACCGTTGCTTGCTCCAAGGCACAGTCTCAGAACTTCGTAGCTTCCTGATGGCCATGGAAGCAGAAAGAACAGCAAACGGAAGTTGGTAGTAGCGGTGGTCATGAGTAGCGGTACCAGTAGCAATCAGAAGGCCTCAGGCAAGAGTTTCGGGCGCAAAAGTAAGTCCACATGGAGTTACCACGAGGTCGTTGAAGACTGAGCAACCCTCTTCGAAGGGCTTTTGTTAGGAGTCCTGCTAGATCTGTGGCAAAGCGAGGAGTATGGACCAGATTTGCTCTTAACGTGGCCACACAAACTGTTCCCAGATCAGTAGCCATGGATGAGACTGTTGGGATGGTCAATGCTCCTCGAGGTTAACACAAGTCTAAACCAACCCAAGGCGTGCCCGGGCCAGTTTACAAGCACAATGGAGCGTTCATATAGGGCCCTTGCACGGATAACGATGAACACATTATTAATAGAGCTCGAACAACATCAAGGGTCCTATGAGACGTTCATACATATTGCGGTAAATTACGAGGTGCTGGCCTGGCAGACAGGTGGACTTCATGCTTTGAACAGCACTGCCATGGACTGGACGATTTGAACTCAAAGGGTCGACCAGAAAAAGACTACTCGAGATTCAAGGGATCAGGTTCAAGTAACCGGTGGTTCTTGGGTCGTGCAATTTCTCAAGTATGCTTGCACTTAGGAAGAACCCTAATCCTTTTTGGCAAACTGCAACTGCTGTTGGGCTTTCAAGGCTAAGGATTCCAGGCTCTTCCGCTTTCAAGCACACGACCCCTTCTTCAGGATTGTCTGGGTAATTGTCAGACAAACATGGAGCTGAAGCCACAAAGGCCTGCGGCGGAAAGCAAGCATGAACAAGAGTGTGTCAGTAGAAACAAGAGCAGCCGCAGCAGCAGCCATCGTTGAAACGGGCTTGCTTCGATTGATCCAAGAACGGGATGCAAAGCTGAGCATGGCAAGCTAGCGGGGCGGTAAGGCTCTGGGTTTGGACTTGCTGAGGATAACATGAAGGCTTCACTGGAAGGCTCACTGCCGCTGGAATGAGCCCAAGTTGTGAAGGGGCTGCGGCACTGTGAGCTAGTTGAGTTGAAGATGCATGGAGGACCACGATCCGTTCTGAATCTGGCTCGGGGACTCCAGGACTCCGAGCTTCCATGGTTTAGGGTCTGTTGAAAACTACTCTGGGTCTGATTCTCGAACAACCTTAAAACCTAAGCCAGAAAAAGCCTTATCTAACCCTCTAGCAAGTCCTAGTAAGTAGCAGTAAGCAGTAGTAAGCAGTAGTAAGTAGTAGTAAGTGGTAGTAAGTAGGAGTAAGTAGTAGTAAGTAGGAGTAAGTAGTAGTAAGTCGGCGTAAGTAGTAGTAAGTAGTGGTAAGCAGTAGGAAGTAGCAGTAAGTAGTAGTAAGTAGTAGCACGTAGTAGAAAGTAGTAGTAAGTAGTACAGTAACTAGTAGTAAGTTGGAGCGGAATCTCCGTTTCTTTCCACCAATCTTCAACGCGGCTTTCATCTCAGAAAGCCGGTGGGCCATGTGGAGCTCGCCGCAGCCTGCGCCAGGCTGTGTCGGCCGCTGGCGGCGTGTGGTGGTGCCGCTGCAAATCAGGCAACCGTCACGCTTGGGCGCTTGCTGAAGCTGGTCATCCTGACATTTTATGCATTCGATGGCTCGCAATCCAACAATGTTCGTCAACAACGAAAGAACCACCCTAGCCCTATTCGCCGCACATACTTGTTTTTGAAAAAACGAGGCCTTCCTTCCAGATTTAAACTAATCGTCTTATGACGTCTTCGTAGCAGCATCGTAGCATTAGTTCGCATGCGGTGCCACAGGGTCCCAAAGAGTTCAAAGCATGCACGAAAGTTTACCCTAACAAACACCCAGGCACGCCCCAACGAAGCATCCAGAATTTGTGCTCGCCACGCCAGGACTCCACGAAATACTCTTCCTGTTTCATGCGCTGCGCTTCTGTTGTTGAGCACCATCTAGGCCGGCCCTTGTCGTTGACGTCCTGCAGCGTGCGCAATGACTTCTCTGAGTTGCTTGGCAGGCGGCAGGTCAAAAACAATGGGCGGCTGTATGGGCTGATAGTCTTCCGTGCAGGTCGCTGCATTGACAAAGAGAGTCACGTTATCCGTTGCCACGCCATGAGCCATATGCAGGTGTCCTGCCAACACTGCTGAATCGCCCTAACGTCTAACTCTAATCTAAATCAAAACTAAACCCTAGTCCCCGCCCCTACACCTTCTGATGTCCTGTGACCACCACTGGAATGCTGCGATTCTGGACGGCAGCGAGTAAATCGGCATCTCCAACTCGCCCCACCGGGGTGATGTCCACATATCCAGCTGGTGGGCCATGCACCAAAAGGATATCCTAATTGCTGACTTCCCTGGACCCCCCCCCCCCCCCGCCAAGCACAAGCAGTTACGCTGCTAGCTCCCTTAATCTAGTGATAGATAGATAATACATGTGATCCGCAAGTGTCTCTTCATGAGGGCTCCATACACAAGAAACTTCTAAAGGTTGCTTGCTCAGCAAGATGTCGGTGTCGACCGGAATGGCGCCCCAGCGCCTCTGTAGTTGTTCACCCCTCGGCAGGTTGAAGGCCCAGTCGTAAAAGTCGGGCTGCCAGGGAGAACCTGGGTTCCCCTTCTTGAAAAAATCAGGGTTTAGGGTTTAGGGTTTAGGGTTTAAGTCTTAGGGTTGAACAAATGTTGTGTAGGAAGGGAGGCAGCGGAAAGGGTCCGTCTCCTGCGTCACCTGGTGTAAAATACCCTCATATATAGAATCCCAAGACACAAAAATGTAGAGGATGCTGACCCAGGAACCGTAGATCTTGTAGCCATGGACTTCCGTCGAGGAGTCCTCCAACCCATGGGGGCCGGGCACAGAAGCACAAAATGAACCTTCACGCAAGACATGTCTACTATGTCACTATGTAAGATTGCCCGAGCCTTCGGGTAAATGACTTAAAAGTTGTTCAGGCTGAGGATAGAAGGTCTTGGGCTTCGTGAGGTTTTGTTGCGTGGTTAGGAGGGTCCTGCAAGTAGATGGCGTTCTTGAGCAGCTGCTTTGCCTGGCTGCAATCATAGCGGATACCGCCGTGAAATCGCTGAGCCCCGCGGGCTATATAGTAGTCCTCCTGGAAGGTGATGTCGTGATTTCCAGCAATGATGACCTTCTTCTTTGCAGGATAATCTTCCAGCCACTTGCTGAAGGACTGCACTTGCTCAAGTTCACCCGTGTTGGTGAGATCTCCTGCCACCAAGCGAAATCTAGCTCGTAATGCACTGCGGCGTATGGGACTGTTCTTTTTTTCGAGCAAGATGTGGAGCGAAAGCTTTACGAGGAGTCCGCCAGAATGGAGAGAATTGCACATCTAGGACAAAAACACACCTCAAGACTGGCCAAACCCTGAATGCGTGAAAGCTCATAAGTCAGGATACTTCGCGGAGACGTTGATGTTTCCGGCACGACTTAAAACAATCCATTCGAAGAAAGAACGACCGCCCGAAGTGCGATACCCCCCTCCATGTGAACGCCCCGGATGCATATTTCATATTTCTAAACCAGGCAACCCCCAAAGCCCTCATGAAGATTTAGAGGCCCCTCAAACGTAGACATGCATGCAAACCCTCACTTCATATGGCGCAAGGGGTCCGTTTATGGAAGGACTGAGGTCCTTAACGGCGTCTTGTTGTGCTGGGCGCACGCCCGAAGCCCCAAACCCTGACAAGCTGGCCTGCATGCAGCAACACATCTCCAGCCGGCATGTGCTCTCTGGGTATGGAAGAATGCCGGCCGTGCGTATCACCTCAGCTGCACGGACCAGCACATCGTGCAGATCAAGAAAGTCAAATCTTGGGGCACTCTCCGCGGCCCCAATCCACGGGTCATTGCAACGTAACTCATTTGTCAGACCTCGAATAAATCACAAGAACGGCTTGTGGAGCATAGAACAGACATGTGATAACTTGTCTTTGAACCCGCCCATGCAGGAGTTCATCTCGGGAGTTCGTCAAGAGCTCAGGGCACTGGGGAGGATTCTACCTAGTGTACTGTACAGAACGAAATCGGAGAGAAGGGGAGGGTAGTCCAGCTCATACCTGCAATGGGTCGTATTGCCCAAACATCACTCCGAGATCGCTCATGTGACCCATGTACATCATCTTCTACTACAAATACCAACCAACATGTGGTCAGTTCTTGAAATTATGGTCCGTTTTGGGGTACCCGAAGTAATGGGGGCCCGCCTGACAATAGGGACATATAAGGACATCCCAAAGGGACGATAATCTGGAGAAGTCACCAAGCAAAACTTGCAAAGCACTTAATGTACGGGTCGGAATAACTACGTACTCATACTATTGCCCCCCAAAACCCTATTCTAATTCAGGCCCCTATGTTACACTCTTAGGGTAGTTAACATGGTCCCTTAAATTTGGGGTTGTTCGGGTTATTAGGGTGGTTTAGGGTTATTAGTGTTACACCCCTATATTCGTACTATAGGGGTACCGCCGTAATTACACTAATAGCCCTAAACCACCCAAACAATCCTAGTAACCCTAAACCACCCTCAGGGACCGTGTTAACTACCCTTAGTCAGGGACTTGGCTTGCCAAGCCAGGCCGCTAAAGCAAACGAAGCGTGTCCATCCCGCCGGCCGTGGCGCTGTCCAGGGTGCCGGCACCAGCCTGAAACAGCTCCAAGAAGTGGGTTTGGGGCCTCTAGCCCCTAAACCCTAAACCCTAAACCCTTAACCCTTAAACCCAAAACCCTAAACCCGAAACCCTAAACCCGAACCCTTAACCCTTCACCCTTAAACCCAAAACCCTAAACCCGAATCCCTAAACCCGAAACCCAAAACCCTAAACCCTAAATCCTAATCGGGTTGGACTTCAGAAATGAAGATTCCAGCATGGGATTGCGAACTCGGGGCTTGTCCCCAAGGGCGGCAAGAAGTTGGAGGCATCGCTATGTCCAGAACTCCCGAAGTACTCGAAGTACTGAAGCTGCTTAGGAGTTTAGAGTTTAGGGTTTAGCGTTTAGGGTTTAGGGTTTAGGGTTTAGAGTTTAGGGTTTAGGGTTAGACCCAAGAGGATCCCGGGGGGCTAAAACGGGAACCTGGGTTCTGGTTCAGGGCATGAGGTTCGAAACAGGCCCATGTTGCATGAGGGAGGCCTTTTGAAGCCATGAATTGAAGACACAAGCCGAGAGTTCTGCGCCAAAACCCACCGAAGCCCCCCCTGAAAAGATCCAGTCGACCCTGAACCCTAAACCGCAGAACTTGAAACCCTATAAACCTGATGGCCCGAGCTTCACATGGGTATCTGCAGTCCCCCCCCCCCCCCCCCCCCTCCCAGCCCCCCTCGATTATTTCTGGTTTGAGGGCTTCCCAAGGGGCCTCGGCGAAGAATCTGGATGGGCAATGCCCCTCGAGGAGCCGAGGCATGGTTTCGGGCGTTTGGGGCTTGGGAGGGCTTGTGGGCTCCAGTTGGGGGTTTCAGGTTCGGGACTGCTTCTGAGGACCTTCTGCGGGGAATAAATACGGTGTATTGAGGCCCTTACTCGTAGGCTCCGGGCAGGTGACCTACGAAGTACCTGTTGTCTTTACAAGCCTTAACCCTAAACCGCATGCAACCCTTCACCTCCATACCCGCTTCCGGATGCAAGAAGTGTAGTGGATATGCGCCCTCTCATCCAATCAATTCAACCCTATGAACCCATGAAGCACCATGACTTCTGCGATCATCCTTACCTCGCCGCTGCCATGTCGGCAAGTTCCCGGCTTCAGGTTTCTCGCGCAGCGTTTAAGCTACCAGTCCCCGCACCATCAAAAGGATCCTAAATCATCCGTGTAACTCAGACAGCCCAACGAAAAGGACCACAACGACCCCTCAAACCCCCAATTCCAAAATCTTCAACCCCACACCCCAAACCCTAAGCCCATAAACCCTAAACCCTGAACCCTGAACCCTAAACCCTAAACCCTAAACCCTAAACCCTAAACCCTACTGCCTCTCTCGGCTCTCCAAGGCGTTGAGCCCCCTGGTCGTGACCAGTCCGTACCACACGCCCAGTAGCACCGCCTACGCGGAAAGTTGGGGGTCAAGGAGGGGCTCGGGTTGAGCGGGTGCAGGGTTTAGGGTGTAGGGTTTGGAGTATTTTTTGGTCGACCTGCAAGCTGAGCTCACAGGTTTGTCTGGTTCCAGTGAGGACGAATATTCGAGCCCCCGAAGCCGAACTGCAGGAGAGCCTTTGAATTTAGGGTTTAGGGTGTGCCATTGCGTGATATAGTCATCCTCAATCCTCAAGTACATCGACTGCCGTTTCACCTCTTTGCTATTCTTGTGAGGAGGGCCAGAAAACTCAGCTGTGTTCTGTTGTGAGGGGGTCGTAACCGTTGTCTTCGGGTTTTTGTACTTGTGAAAGTTTTTCGAGGGTGGTTCTCAACCTGATGAGAGCACCAAAGCTACCTGTGCGTGCCTTTTGCAGTTCCCGGCAGTGAACTAGCACGTGGGAGAAAAACAGGGTTGCCAGATAACTCCTGCATAGCCTTTACTCATGACCTCAATATTGTGCCTATCCCCTGATGGCAATCCTTACCCGTGATGCTCCGATTTCAAAGTGGAAGCCCCGGTTTAAAGGTACCACCAAGCTAAGACAAGTGGCTACGGACAAAGCCACGCCAGCAACTACCAGCACCTTGCTCAAAGGAGGGTGGCCCATCAAAACCTGGAGGAGCTTTGGTTGGGGCTTGGAGTTAGGGTTCAGGGTGTGGGATTGGGACTTGGAGTTTAGGATTTGGGTTTTGGGCTTAAGATCCTCATATGTTGCGATGGAAGCTATCTCTCCCGACAGTCTCAGGCTGGATGAGCTACCAATACCAAGGACGTGATTTGGACGAGGAGTACCGGCACATATCAACACCAAAGCTGCCTGCTTAACAAACAGCTCCTTGAGAAAAAATGTCGCAGGTCCGGACACGATTGCCAATCTTCCGAGACTCCCGCCTTACAGCGCCAATTGCGCGACTGAGTCGCCAAGGCCTTGCGACAAGCAAAGATGGGAGATAGCTTATTTGCGCTACCTCTTTCAGGTGAGTCTCTTAGGACATTGACTACCTGACTCCAGTGACATTCCGACTGTACACCATGACACCACCTGCATTTCCAGCACACTACAGTGAAAGATGCTGCGTTCAGAACGCATTTGCTCCTACCACTATGACACATACAGTTCCTTTTTCTAAGGACTAAGTTTCAGGCGTTGTGTTATCAGGGTTCATACTGACTGTTTTCGGATTGCTGGTTGAAGGGCCTACGCCCCTAGTGACCCCAAACCTTAACTCGATGAACTTCCATGTCATGTCGTTCTTGCTCGCTTGCAATCCCTCAAGCACGAGCGCTTCTGAGTCGAATTTGTCAAGTTTTGCGACTCCGCGGCGTGCCCACAAGTCATATTGCAATGCCTACGCCGCGTCTCTCCATGAATTCCAGACCCTCTTGGACTCCGGAATTTTGTCCAAGGCTCCCATGTTGCGCTGGGCTTCCCAGCGGCGCACACGGCTGACACTGCAGTGGTGTTAGCTAGAACTGGGGTGTGGCATTTGGTTTTAGAATCCAGCGGTTTAGGGTTTACGGGCTTTTGTTTCGAGGGGCTTCTGGGCTTCGTGGGCATCATTGCTGAAGGTTTGCTATTGCTTTGGATGTGATTTTTTCCACAGCGCTTGAGCAAAAGGCGGAAGGGGACAACTAGGTCCAGGCCTATCGGCTCTATTGGTAGGCTTTAGGACGCTCAGGGTAAAAGAGGCTGTTCTCTTAGTATCATGATCATTCTTCAGAGCTTGTCAAGCGTGAGTCTTCCTGCAGTAGCAGTGCGGACGATGGCAGTGTGGCAGCCACGCGAAAACTGGCCAAAGAAAGGCAGCTAGTCAGAATCAAAACAAGTCCCTAGCGCGACTCGCTGCTTCATGCGAACATACGCGGCTTGCGACAATCGAGTCAAACCACCTGAAAGGCGAAACTACGCCCGGAGACTCTCCACTGCCAGCCCCACCACCTCAGCCGGCCGTCAACAAAAGGCACTCTCGGAGGGGCGAAACACGACATGGGTTGATTGCACGCTATGCCAGGGTTGGCGAAAGAGTTGTGTTTTGGCCAAAGCTTCTCAAAGCCGGACAACTGGGGCAATCTAAGCAGTTGTTCGGATGAATGTATAAAGGCACAAACATGTGGCAAACACTTCAGGCTCTCGGCTTAGGGACTTCTTGTGCTGGGCTGTATCGTAACATGCCAAAAGGCCAATCCGAACTGCAGGGTTTAGGCTGTGCTGGGTCCAGGCTTTGTTCGGGGCCCAAGCTCGAATGAAGCCCACTTTCACGTGGCTTAGCTTTTTGGCACGGTCGACACAGGTGCGTGTGGAGACCAACTGTCATCCAAATCGCCGGCCTGCAAGAGGTTGTCAACCACTGAACTGCAGACCATCTATCGTACAACAGACAGCATACGTTGTAGCGCAATAGGTGTCGTAGGTTTAGAGCAGAATGCAACACAATACTTCACAGCATACTCTCGCTACATCGTCTGATAGAACTTCAACATCTATGCCCATGGCTCGTGAGGAGCCGTTTCTGGAGAGCTTTTGGCCATGTGGCTCGGAATCCGGACATCAAAACATACTTTGCAGGGCTCAGGCTGCAAGCGCAGAGGCTACTGACACGCTCGTCAACTCTCAAGCAACGAAGACAAAGCTCGCTCGAGCCGAAAAACTCGCAAGCATGCACTTTGAACGCCTTGACAACCCAAGGCTTCTTTGCACATCTGCTTTACAACATTACAAACACAACCCCTTTTGCCCCGCCAAAACAGACGTCAAACTTGGCCATGAACTCTGAATCCTCAGCCGGCAACCCCTTAAGGTTTGAAGGCCCCTCAAGCTTTGAGTCCCGGAGACCCTGGCCTCAGTTCAGCCGATGGCCTGCCAAGCGCAGGGCAGTGCTGCCACTCCGGTTTTAGGGTAAGGGGTTCAGGCTTTACGGCTTTTTGGGTTCGTCGCAAGCTTCAGGTCGCCGGGGGGGAGGGGGGATTTGCTGGCTTTATATGATGGGAGGAGTTTAGGAGGGATCCTAAAAGGGATGAGTTTATATGAAAATAAAATGGATCCATATGTGGTTAAAAGGAATTAGTTCACATGAATTTAGAAGAGGTCCATGTGATTTTAACAGGGATGAGTGTGTATGAGTGTGAAAGGAATCCATGTGGTTTTTAGAAGTCATGAGTTTCCATGAATTTGAAAGCGTCCCATATGACTTCAAAAGGAGTCCATTCTCGGCTGAGCAAAAAACGACGCACGTCATCATGAATCCTGATAGTGTGGCCTCCGGGAATGGTGAAGAAAAATCCGAAAATGGTCAGGATCAATTCGATAAGGCCCCCCCCAGAATTGTGAGGAAAAATCGAGAGACGCGAAATTTCGGCGAGGCTTTAACGAGAGCTGTTGCCGAGAAATTCCGCAAATTGGTTTTGCTTATCGGGGGATGATTGCTCAAGATATCTTAGCTATGGCATAGTGTTTAAGATAGATGCTTTGTCTTGCTTATTGTGGCGTGATGGCTCAAGATATGTTAGCTAAGGTACAGTGTTTAGTACAGAGTTCAGGTTTTGCTTATTGGGGGATGGTTGCTTGAGATAACTTAGCTAAGGTATAGCTTTTAGGATTGATTGCTTAAGATACTGCAAAACCTCGAGTAGGTACCACAAACTCCAAAAAAAACAAAGGTTCTGAGACCTTGGCCTCAACCTCAAGTGAATCGCCGTCAAGCCACAGCCTTGAAGATCGTTAGACCCTGAACCTTGAACCACATACCTCGAACCCCCAATATACCCCACAATGCCTGCCAGCGGTGATCTCCGGAACTTTCCTCATGCAGTAGCGGTGCTGCACTGAAGTCGAGAACGCCACTGATAGTGCTTGGTGTGGTGTTCTAGTCGTATGAAGCAGGAACAGAACCGAGGGCCATGCTGCAAAGAAAGAACGAATCGTAAAGCAAACCATGCAAAAATATGTGGGCTGCTTGGTTCAATCAGCTTTTCTCGGCTCAGGCAAGGGGCAAGACTCGTGGGCCCTAGAGCCCTAAACCCAAGATGTTGGGATTGAGGGTTCTTGGTTTAGGGTGTTGGGTTTTGGGCTGCGCGTTCTGGCTCACGATCCACACTCCCCGCGCCCATTGCCGCAAATGTTTGATGTGCGAACGCATCAGGTATGTAACTATGTGAATAGCTTCATGCCCGCCTTTTGTTTAGGGCTGTAGGGATTCTAGAGCCTAGGCGTAGGGTTTTGGGCTTTAAGGATTGAAGATTAGGGTAGGGCTTTAGGCTTTAAGGATGTCGAGCTCATACACACCAAGCTTGAGGCTTCAGAGTTTGTGGGCTTGAGGGTTCAGTTTCAAGG